TGGATTTTATTCAATAAGATGATAAAAATCAATAAATATATCCAATGGAGCATGGCAAGGCAATATGATGATTATGCTATCAAGAAAGAGATTATCAAGTTTATTGATAGCTAAATATGCTGTTTCTATATATTACTTAAAGGATGGGGGTGTTATAGGAGTCCAAGCCAAAATAAGGTTTCTTCAGGAGCATATAAGACACCCCTGTAATTTTGTTAAAGGGGATAAAATCTACACACAGTGTTCAATCTTGTAGGGGTCATCCTATTGGAGTTGGAGTTATGGGGAGGGATCTCAAAGATGTATATGTCTTTAAGATTAAGGGATATGGTCTCATAAATTTTCCATGGGGTTTTAGGTTGATTCACTTTTCATTTATAAAGATGGGTCTCTCAGTTTCTTGTAAGTTTTTCTTGTTTGTGACACCATAGCAGTGGAAAAGAGGGGAATTAATTGCTTCAGTTAGAGTGTGAGTTTAGAAGAAAAACTTTATAGGGTTTTGTCAATAATTAAAGCGAGATATATCTCTTGTAATCTAAAAATATAATATTAATTGATAATGGATTTCAACTTGTTGAGACTTGAGACCATGGTTGTAGTTCTTTAGAGTGAACTATGTTAATCTAAGCTATCATGATATGTTAATATTTTTGCATTATCTTTTGCACTCGATTTGCAATTATATTCATCTATTACTCATTAGACTGAAATTGTGGGGTTTCTGGTCTTCGAGGTTTCTAGTTCTAAAAGCAAAGGATTTCAAAAGACCCTACACCTCATACTGTTACACTACTTCCTATCTTTTTATAAGGATCCCAAGCATAACACCCAAGAGATAAACTTTATTTCTCATTTTTTTTTTATGTAATGTTGCAAGTTTTAATACCTGAAGCCCCAATTTTGATCGATCACCGCATATCACATACTTAATACAGAATATGTAAAATTGATAATCCAATAATAAGCTCAAGGATCATGTGCAATAATTTAGAAAAAATAAATTAGAGATGGAAGCATAATCATAAGAGAAAATTAGAGAGAGACAAACTACAAACCAAATTTAATGTGGTTCAACTTGTAGGGCTACGTCTATGGGCAAACCAGCAAGTAATTCCACTATCAAAAAAAAAAATTATAAGGGGATACAAGCTTACCTCAAAAGAGAAAAATAATGAAATCTCTTAGTAAAATTCCTCTTTTGTAATAACACAAAACCACGATTTACCTCATGTTTCACGTCAAATGATTCAACGACAAGAGCAATACATATTTCTTAAAAATTGGATAATAAATTACTCTTCACCACTTTCCCTTTCTCAAACAACCAAAAGAGCCTTAACCCCTTTTTAAAGAAAAAGAAAAAGAAACCCAAAGAAGAGTGATTCGTATCTACCAAAAATCCCTTTTTTGGCTTTTATACTTAATTTTGTGACAAAAAAGCCCCAAACAAAAAGTAAAAGATAAATATAGTTAGGTAATTTTCTATCACCATTCAACATGTAATTCTGAAATATATAACAATGGTTTAAAATTCACGTATGTTAATAAATAATAAAATATTAAATAATTGATTCTTTAGATGCAGTTTGATAAGTCTCCATCAGCTTGAGGCACACTATTAATAGTTGAATTATAAACAAATCAAGTTTAAATTGGTGCCTTTTTTAATTTAGTGGTCACTGAATTCTATTTATTAAGGATAAATTGGTGTGTCGTTTATATTCTGAAGTCGAATTTTCACAAGATCGTTACCTTGCAAGTTATTTGTTTCATTGACCACCAAATTTTTTGGTATATTTCCCTAGTCTGATATTGAATTTATGGTACTAAGGTATCACATACCAATCAATAGCTTGATGGTGATGGAGAGAGCTTGGGATCTCATGTCCATTGTCTCTCCATCCTTCACCATCAATCCATTTGCAGTATAAAATAAATGGTGTAGTTTGCATAAAGTTGCAATCTTAAACAATAAAATTAAGGCTCACCTCCAAATTTATCATAAATTTATGGTGTAAAAAATGTTGGGTTTATGTGGCCTTTAAAGGTCTTATGAGAGTAGCTATAAACATTTCGTACAGTCAAACATAAACTCAATGGAAGTGTGGTTCTTGTGGACTATACTAGACAATTGCTATTGCCGATCTCAGACTTGGCTCGAGTGCTAGGCTGATCGAGTTGGAAAACCCAAGTAACTTGGGCATAGAGATAAACTGATGATAGTTTAATGAGTCATCCATTAATGAGGTCGAAGTTGCTCGGATGAATGAAGCGGTGGACTGTGCGACCCTTGTGTGTGATGGTTGACCTTTAGAGACTGGGTCAAAGGCTCATCCCTGAACAATCACAAGGTATGTATATAAATAGCCGTATCGAGAAAGCAAACCACCTTTAAGGGTGAAGTGTGTACCTGTGTGAGAGATTACCCCTATGCACCATAAAGCTATGGTTGCATCATAGTCTGAGAGACTATGTATTTATCTCTAAGGGAAAACATGTAGTCCATAGACTGAGATTGTATCTCCTAACTTATTGGCTGACTTCGGTAGCCCAATCATCAACACATGCAATGATCTATAGGTCTTGGAATCGTTGATTTAGTTTTTGAGAAAGCTAGTGTGGATCATAGTCCACAATTGAAGGTGGAGTGCTCCAGCTGTTTATTAACTCCTATACCTGTATGGACCTGATTTCCATCAAAATTATTTAGTTTTAATTATTTTGATGATATTTGATTTTTAAAATTATTGTTTGAATTTTTGTGAATCTTTGGGTATTTTATTTTTGTAATTTGAATATTTTTCTAGTATTTACAAATTGTAATTTTAAACAATTGATTATTTCATGGGGGGCCCATATGAGATATGGGCCACCATGTCATATTGGGTGGGCCCATGAGAGGCCACCTAGGGTGGCATAGCCCACCTACATGGTTTTCATATATTTGATCAAGCCATAGTTGGCTTGCACATCATGATATTTGATTTTAGAACGCCTTGATTTTTATGGAGTTTAAAGAATCAAAGTAGTAAAATAAGAGATTATTCATAAAATAAGAAATATGATTATATTTTTCTTATTTGAATATTTGATGGATAGATTTAGGAAATGGAAGATAATGTTATAGCACATTCATTTAAATATTGATGGTGGATCTAAAGAATTGATGACTCACATCTCTTATTCCAAAAATCTCCTTAGATCAATTGTCTAAATTTGATCTCACTAAAAATAGCAAACCTAAGAATTACAAAATTTATAAATAGGATTCCCTCTCTCCTAAATCTCTATACCTCTATTCTCTCTCTAAACTCTCTTTACTATCTCTCTTTTATTTGTTTGTACCTCTATTCTCTCTCTAAACTCTCTCTACTATCTCTCTTTTATTTGTCTATACCTCTATTCTCTCTCTAAACTCTCTCTACTATATCTCTTTTATTTATTTAGGTTAAGCCAGGGGGGTTTAAAGTAGGCTAAGGCATTTAAGGCCTTACACTTTGGTTCAAGATAATTTCATTTGCTTTTATTATTGAAGGGTTTTGCAATACTTAGCAGATTCGATATTGATCATTGATCTTGAGCACTATTGGAGGAGGAGACTCGGTGTGGGGTGTACTAAGCCCGATTGAGGCAATCTCTGGCAACTTTAGTTGATTCATTTTATTTTTTTTATTGTGCTCTTCTATTCCCGTAAAGCAATGTGTCAAGATTATTTATTGAATAAAGGAGTTGGTTTTAGCAGTAGCAATTGAGAACTGTTTTTATTTATTTATTTCAAGAGAGGTTTTTATTTATTGGACATTATAAGTGATCTAGTTGGTGAAAAAAAAAAAAATTAAATTTATATACACTGTGCTTTATTACATAGTTCAACTTTCAAAAAATTCTTGGGATGGCTTGAGAATTTCATCGCTAATTACAAAATTTTGAAATCCAAAATTGGTTCAAATCAAATAGATTTTAAAAACATAAACATCTTGAATATAAACGGTCCAGATAATGCATTGCAAGATACAATATTGTCAGGACCCGATATCTTTTTTTCTTTTCATATTCATACATCCCATTGTCGAGATGATCTTTTTTCTTTTGAACGGTTCTATCCAATGACCATTGTCAAGATGATCAATTAGAGAGCTTTCAACATCATAACAACCTTTATGATGGACTTATGAGGTGCCTCTTAATTCTACATTTTAAGGTTGTAACCTTTTATAATATTTTTTCTAAAAATAAAAGGACCATCCACCATTGTTACAAGGAGGTCACGACCACTCCTAGTCATTAAATATCAAATTGGATAGCTTGGAATATATCATGAAGTTTGAATTTTTTTTTTTGATCTTTGAGTCTAGTCAATGCCACACTTACAACCATTTGATGCAAAATCTGAAAGACAAGAGTAACTACTTGTAGTAAAAAATAAATAGTTAGTTTATGCACATTTTCTAAAATAAAAAGGATATATACAATAAGACCATTTATCTATTGCACAAGAAGTTCACAATCACTCTTGAACATTGAATATGAAATCCGAAAGTATTGCAAAACTCAAAAACTTTTTTTTGGACTTTGAGCTTACTAAATGACATGCTCTCATCCAAAGATTTAAAAATGGATCGATGCCTAGGAATGGGCATCACAAAACCAGTCCGCATCAGGGAAGCGGCAGGCCAAATTGCTATTTTACTGTGTGGAAAAAATAGTGAACCGACAAAAAAACACATGGAAAAACAATGAACCAGCCGAGAACCGGTCTGGATCGATAAATAAGTGATTTTAGTGTAGTATAACAGCAATTTTACTATAGCAAAACGCTCATTTAGTATAGCAAAACGCTCATTTAGTATAGCAAATTGTTGATTACCTTATAGATCCGTACACTTTTTTATACATCGAAAAAATTGACATGAGGGTGATCAATTCGTGGGTCGGATCCGGGCGATTCCGTGCCAAGCGGCCTTTTTTAAATCACTGCTCTACTCAACTCGGTTTTACATTAACGGCCAGAAATTGTTGCGGCCACCGAGTATAATTTATCTTTATCTTATTATGAAAAAACTTTTACATGTATATACGATCATGATATGTTATGGAAATCTGGGAAGCATGGCTCTCGCTCATGGGTTGTCTTGTGATTTTCGCTCCAAGTATTCTCTCACAAGTCTGCCTGTTACTGCTTGTGCCACGGCCCCTCAATACAGCTGCCCCATTTTTAGAGAGAGGTTTTTGCCTCTGCAAATTTCTCAAAACCCCTTTCTGTCTCCTCTCACAGTACCCGAAAGACACGTACTCTCTCCTAAGAGTATTCCCCGAGTGCACTTTCTCTCTCTAGATAGCTTGAGGAGAAGGTACCACAAGCAAACAGAAGTGGTTTCAGGGTAAAATTTTGAACTTGATGAAAGTATCACCCCATGATCCTGGTCTTCATTTCCCAATAATTGCTTGGGTTTTTTTTAATGTTATCAGGGGTTTTCTTTCTATCGTTGTTTCTTATTTTCATGTTTTTGATTGTTTGAATGTTGAAGTAGTTTTGTTTAGTAACCTAGAAAAGACGTAGTTTTGTTCATTTAGGAATAATTGCTCTATCTTGTTTTGATTTCTTTGATTGATATTTTGAATATTGAAGTGATTTTTTGGGCATTTGCAGTGTGGAGGAGGAGCTTCCCCCTGAGATGGTTTCCACATCAGAGCCACCCAATCTTTTTGATGGAACTACCAGGTCTCTTATTTCTTTAGGCCCCTTTTGGGTGGCCACTTTTTTAGTTGGGTGCAATTTCAATAATGTAATTCCACTATGGGTATTGCCTCTAGGAAAAAAACAACGGAAAAAGAGGAAAAATTAATATGAACTTTTTTTGCTTCTGTGGTAAAAGACCTCTTTAGATACTGTTACATGTGATTATGACCATTTAAGAGTGCCTGTTTTCATGACTGCCCATAAAGGCAGGTAAAGATAAAGCTCTGCTTTGGTATTTAGCATGTTCAAATGGGGCCTTATTGTTGCAAATTTGTAATGGTAGTAATAGTAGTAGTAATAATTGTTGTTGTTTCAGCTTTCTTGTTATTGTTATTGCATTAGTAGTAGTAATAATTGCTTCTCTTTTATCATTATTTGTAGTTGTAGACTGGTGGGAGTAATTGTTTGTTATGCAGCGCATAGTAAATTAGTAAATTTGGTTTTCTCTTGTTTGTTTTTACCTTTTTATCTTCCCCTACATCTCTCTGTCTCTCTTATGTCAAATTTCACTCTTATGTCCCATCCAAAAACCGCCATGGCTGTTCCCAAGTCGATCATGCCTATCCCAAGCTGGAGAGAGGAGGGGGGGTTGTGTTAGGTGGGCAGCTAGTGTAAAACTTAGCCACATCTTTTCTTTAGAGATGGATGAACGACATGACAATAAAGAATAGAATTCGGAATAACTACATTTGAGGGAACTTAAGCCGGTTCCAATAGGCGATAGGGTGAGGGAAAGTAGAATTAAATGGGCTTTCCATGTGCAATATCAATTTGGAACAACACCGGTTAGGAGGGACGATTTGGTTCAAGTGGAAGGCTCTAAAACGGCAAGGGGAAGGCCCAAAAGGACATGAATAGAAGTAGTAGAAAGAGATACGGTGACTTTATGGTCTGACTAAGGGTATGACCCTTGATAGAGTGGCATGGTGAAATAGGATTCCATCTCAAATTGTTGGGATAAGGCTTGGATGATGATAATGATATTTCCATGCAAAATCTAGTTAAGTGTTAAAGTTTACTTTTTTGTTATTTCCAGTGATCATGATTTTCCGTCGTGCATGTCATTTCCAGTGATCATGATTTTCCGTCATGCATGTCATCTCAACTGTGCATTCTCTAAACATCAGTTTATACTCGACTTTGGCACTACTTGCGCAAGAAGAAAAAGGATCATCTCTCTCATATCAATTAAGTACTGACGGTATAGATGACGCACTCGTCACACTGTTGGTATGATACATGTACTATCCTATAGAATCTCAGAATCAAGATTCTTGTTAGAATCATGTTTTGAGTGTTGAAATGCACACTTTTACCCATGGGGATGTAATGCGTATTCAGATGATGTGGCTAAAACCAAATGATTGTTAATCCTAGCCTTAGTCTTGTTTCCAAGGATATAACATTAGTCTTCTAAATTTTTGCCATTAGTGCCTTATTTGCAGCTTCTGATAAACATTAACGTAATCATTGTTCATGAGCTTATTACCCAATAAATGTTGGTGTATATGCCTTACGAAATGATAACCATTTTACTGCATTAAAAACTTTGACACTATTCGGAAACTCGAGCACAGTGGTTGACCCGCTCACTGCTAAAACCAATTCGACTCGTTGAGTGAAACAATCAACTTGAAAAAATCAAATAGAAATGTTTGTAATGAGATAGGAACCTTATTATTATATTAGGCTGCATTATTTCCACATTAGAAATTCCATATATGTAGCCGAACAGCATAACTAACTACATATAACCAAAGGTGTTGGGCATATCCTGAGGTTTTCACTTATAAGGCTCAGTCATTAGATAAGTTGAGTTGACCCTACGAGTTTTACTGAGCCAAAATGAGATTTTAGTCACTGCCTGGAGTGATTAGTAATTATTATTTTATTTGAGTTTGTTGTCAGCCTCATCATTATCATTTTAGCCTTTTCCCAATTAATTGGGGTCGGCTACATTAATCATGGTTCTCCATTCTGCTATATTAAAGGCCATATCTTTAGTGAGGCCATAAGTACCCATATCTTTTCGAATTCCTTCCAACCACGTTTTTTTGGGCCTACCCGTTATCCTTTTCAGTCTTTCTACTTGAACTAACTCGTACCTCCTAACATGTGCTGTACTTGGTCGACGCCACATATGGCTATACCACTTAAGTCCACTCTCTCTCATTTTATCGTGTATTGGTGCCACGCTTAAATTCTCTCCAATAGATTCATATGGACTTCTATCCCTTCTTGTTGTGCCACTCATCCATCTCAACATCTTCATCTCATTTTGTGAGTATATTGTTTTTTGTTTGCCCAGCATTCTGCCCCCATAGAGAAAAGCTGGTCTCACCGTTGTCCTATAGAACTTGCTCTTCAGTCTCATTGGTATGCGATGATCACATAAAATTCCAGTTGCACATCTCCACTTCACCCACCCAGTTTTAATTATGTGTGCGACATCTTCCTCAATCACTCCATTTTCCTGGATTATTGAACCAAGATATCGAAAGGGCGGTATTTTTTGTACTTTTTGGCCGTCAATCTTAACTACTTCCTCGTCTCTACTCCTATTGTTATTAAATTTCCATTCCATATACTCTGTCTTAGTCCGATTAATTTTAAAACCTTTGGATTCTAGAGCATCCCTACAAAGTTCTTTTTGTTGACGCGTTTAAAGTCTCAATCAAAACTATGTCATCTTCGAACAACATGCACCACGGTACCTCATCCTGTAGGTGCCTAGTTAAGTCGTCCATAACTAAGACAAAAAGGTACGGACTCAATGTTGACGTATAGACCTATTGTAAGTGAAATGCACTCGTCTCTCCACTAGTTCTTTGTATACTAGTTAGCCCTCCATCGTACATATCTCTCACCAAGTCTATATAGTATTTAGAGACTCCTTTCTTTTTCAACACCTGCCAAATCAAATCTAGAGGTACTCTATCATAAGCTTTCTCTAGGTCAATAACAACCATGTGGAGGTCGTTTCCCTTCGCCCTAAACTTCTCAATTAGTTTTTTAAGTAGGAAAATAGCCTCAGTTGTTGACTTTCTTGGCATAAAACCAAATTGATATTTAGATACACTTGTTTCATGCCTTAGTTGTTACTCTCTCCCAGAGCTTCATACTATGTCTCATAAGTTTGATCCCTCGATAGTTTGCAAAATTTTGTATGTCTCCTTTGTTCTTGTAGATAGGTACCACAATACTTTTCTTCCATTCGTCCGGCATTTTTTTTGTTCTTAACATCTTGCTGAACAACTTCGTCAGCCAGTCAATGCCAATTTCTTCATGTACTTCCAAACCTCTATCAGGATACCATCTGGTCCTAAAGCCTTTCCTATCTTCATCCTACATGAGTTAAATGATCATAATTAATATGCTCCCAAGTTCCTGTGGATTTATGTGTTTCTATAGCATATATTGTTATTTGATTTTCGTTTGTATTCTAGGCATTATCTTCAAACTCATGTTAGTTCTCGGGTTATGATTTTTTATTTGATAACAAGAATATGCTACCATGTCAACCTACTTTTTTACCACATCAGAAAATGCCATTCAACACAAATAATCCTTATGTATCCAAAACCAAGACTAACCAAACCTGTCTGGCATATCTTGAGTTCTTCACCAATAAAACTTGGTTAATAGACAAGTTGTTTAGACTCTACAATTTTTTCCAAGTTGACAATGATATTTTATTAATTGGTTGGGAGGGCCAGGTGATTCTATTATTTACTTTTGAGTTTGTTTCCTACAAGAGTTGAATGGTTTAATATACTACCGTGTTCCTGTGGATTCTATGGGTTCCATTACTTCACATTCATCTAGTTTTTGAGTATGCCTTTCTAATTTGATAAACAAAATTGTACTAGTTGGTTTTGAAATTCTTACAGTGATTGCAATTTAGGGTGTTTTTCTTCAAAACTAAACAAGAACTTAGGAAACACTTATGTGATTTTGAATTTTGCTAGGTAAAGTGATCATAGATGATTGCCTAACCAGCTTGTGGTGGGGGTTTTGCAGGTTGTACATCTCATATGTTTGCCCATTTGCTCAGCGTGTCTGGATTGCTAGAAATTACAAGGTTGTCTAATTTTTTATCCAACCCATTAGATTCACTTGTGAAGTCAACTTGTTTCATATGTTGGGCCCTCTGCTTTCTTTTTTTTCTCTTCATGAGTTTGTTTTCTTCTTGTTCAGTTAACAATATTAGTCAGAAGACATTGAGCTTCTCAATTGAATGCTGTTAAACTTCCAAATCTGAAAATCTTCTTTACTAGTTTAATGGCAAAAAGTCGAATTGACATGATTTTCTTTATTTTCATGCGCAACTTTGGTGGCATGGCAGGGACTACAGGATGAGATGAAATTGGTTCCTATTAATCTGGCAAATCGACCTTCTTGGTACAAGGAAAAAGTTTATCCTCCTAATCAGGTGCTCTATGTGGTTCTAGTTTTGATTTGTTATTATAATTATGCCTAACAATATGGTTCCATTTCTTTATAAAAAAAAAACAACAATATGGTTCCATTTTGATGTCATAAAATGCCTTTAGTCCTGGCCCTTAATGCTTTATTCAGTTGTTACTGGTCTTTGCATTTGACAGGTTCCCGCACTTGAGCACAACAAAAAAGTCATAGGAGAGAGCTTGGATTTGCTCTATTATCTTGATACACATTTCGAGGGCCCCAAACTTCTTCCTGATGTAAGATATGACATTAATCTGCACTGTGATTGGAGGGATTGTCCCTTCTTATAATGTTGATGGCGCTTTCTCTATGGACAATAGGATCCAGCCAAGAGAACATTTGCAGAGGAGTTAATTGGGTGTTGTGGAGACTTCATAAAAGTGCGCAGCGCCTTTTCTAAAGAAGATATAGAAGAGGAAGTGGGTGAGTACCATATTACAGAGAGAAGCTTCCCCTTATGAATGAATTTTTTCCTCTAACTATCATATATTTTCTTAAATATCCATCGGTAGTTCTTATTCACAATTTTGCTTCTGTTGATAGATTGTCCCTGCTATCCTTGTCAGGTCCTCCTTGTGATTACTTGGAAAGTGCTCTTTCCAAATTTGATTTTGGACCTTTCTTCCTTGGTGAATGTAGCATGGTAAATGTTGTTCCATGTACCTTGACTGGGTTATACCATCAAACTTTTAAAATGCTGGTTTTCATTTTTTAAGTGAAAATATCAACAAGATGGTCAAACAACTTCATAAAATCAATGAGATGGTTAAACCAACCAATTTGCCAATAATATAATTACTTTTTAAAAGACCTTTTCACATAGGTACCTCAACTATTATGTCAAAAAATGCCTTGATTGCCCCAATTCCGGGTTTGGAACCTTTAATAAGTGAATTATCTTGGCAATCTTACTCGAGCCCAATGACCTAAATGCCCTGCTTATTTTGGGTTCTAGGGTTCCAAACATGGAACGCGTGTTACTTCATGAAAATATCTTATTTTGAGTTTGGATCCTAGAACAAGTGGCTTATTTATCTCATTTGGCCTGAGTGACTTAAAGTGGAGCCAAATTGCCAAAATGTCTTTACTTGGTTCTGGTTCCAAACAGGAACAACATTTTGTAACGAAGAAAACATGTTTTGGTTTTGGAACCTAGAAAAGGAGGTAATTAGGTCGAATTAAATGGGTCAAATGTCTATAAGGCTCTCACTTGTTCAAGGTTCCAATTCTAGAACAAGGGCCACTAGGGCATTGTTTATCAAAACTATTAAGGAGGAACCTAAAGAATGGATTTTCAAAAAAGATACCACTCTGTTGGTGAATTGATTGATTTTAACCATCTCATTGATTGTTTGAGGCGGTTTGGTCATTTTAATGAATGTTTGCCTGTTTTTTAATCGTCATATAACTACTTTTTGATGGCATTTGCGATAGCATGATTCCTTTTCTTTTTAGTTTTTGGTTAAAGAAAGATGAAGCAAAATAGAATCTAATTACAAATGATAGTCGTTTTATTTGATTATATTTATCGTCATCCTCCGTTGTATTATATTTTGGCCTCTTTTTGTTGATGACCATCATTCTTTTTCTTGTAATATTCAGACTTTGTTTACGATAAGTCAAAATTTTGGCTGTTTTCACTGGCTTGTTCATGTCCCATGTGCTAAGAAAACAAAACTATAAAATACTTGTGTGAGTCTATACAAGACTTGCCCAGGCACCTTTAACTATACACCAGCCATATGTTGTCATATTTTTATGGTATGGAGTGCGAGAATTAGGTATGGAACATATGCAGTGCGGTACAATCGATGTTTTTGAAACAAGAAGCCTTATCACATTGGCTTTTTTGGCATTGTGATGGATATTTGCGAAACCATTCGGATTTGCATGTTTTTTAGTGTTAAAAGGGTTATTTCTTCTCCAACCCCCATTTCTCAGTCCTCATAAATGGATCCCCTAAGGGCTTTTTCCTCTCCTCTAGGGTTTTAAGACAAGGAGATTCGCTATCCCCACTCCTATTTGCCATCTTGGCAGAGGTCTCCAATCAATCAATCTCTCGGTTGTTCTCTGCTGGTATGTTACACAGCTTTTCTTTTGGAAACCACGGACCTGTCGTCTCGCGCCTTCAATATGCAGATGACACCCTAGTTTTCTGCAACACTGATCCAAAGGAAACAGACAAATGTTCTTATGTTTCTCAGTTGTTTTGAATTCGCAATGGGATTCAAAGTGAACTTCAAAAAATCTAAAATGATGGGGATGGCGATTGACTTCCCAACTCTTAAAGGTTATGCAGAAAGTTGGGGTTGTGAGGCCCAAGAACTTCCTTCAACTTATCTAGGTCTCCCTATGTGCATAGGAAAACCGAAAAAAAGTTCCTGGTCTCACTTCATTGACAAAGTTGATAAAAAATTGGCAGTTTGGAAGGATCGATTCCTATCTCCGGCAGGAAGGATAACTCTGATCAAAGCCACCTTAGCCAACATCCCCATATACCAAATGTCTATCTTGCAGATACCGGCCGCCATCACAGCAAGAATCTAACAACTTATTCGAAGATTCTTCTGTTCTGGGGCAGGGAACAGCCACAAATTCCATCTAATCTCATGGGACAAATTATGTCAACCTAAGAGGCTGGGAGGGCTAGGAATCAGAAATCTGAAAAAAACAGAACTTGGCTTTACTTGGAAAGTGGTGGTGGCGTCTAGCTACGCAATCGGATCACCTCAGGATCGACATTATCAGGCACAAATATCGTATCCCAGCCCCACCCTGGGTTCCAAAGTACAGAAACACTCAAAGAGCCTCTGGTTTCTGGAGGTCTCTTCACTCGTATTACCACTCTTTCAGAAATTGTATTCGCCTTCATCCTAGGAGAGGTAATCGAGTTCGTTTCTGGATAGACGAATGGCTTGGCCCCCAACCCCTGAAGGACCGTTTTCCCTTATTCTTCTCTCTTACTCGCCACCAAGATGCCTCTGTTGCCGCAGAGATGACCCTCTTGGGACATTCTCGATCCTGGAACCCATGTTTTAGAAGGCCCCTCAATGACCTCAAGATTCTACCTTTTCTAGAATTATCAGAGACCCTACACCGTTGTTTCATCTCCCCTTTAGGAGAAGATCAGTTGGTTTGGACACCAAATGCCTCAGGTGTTTTTTCAGTTTCCTCCTACTACAATCTTACATCTCCACCTACCTTCTCCCACTCCCCAACATCCTTAGTGGCTTCAGCTTGGACATCTTTTACACCCCCCAGGCTCAAGGTCTTCATGTGGATTGCACTATGACAGAGGATAGTAACCACTGATATGCTGCAAACGAGAGGCATACCGCTGCCAAACCATTGAGCCCTCAGTTTGTAGGAAGAGGAAACCAATGATCACCTACTACTTCTTAAAATTATCCCTTCGGAGCCCCTCGCTATTGAAGGAGACTCTAAGAATGTCATTGCTTGGGTCTCTAAATCTTCTCCCCCCCCATGGAGCCTTGCACATATTTTTGATGAGATTCACTACATTTGCAGGGATATGCACATCTCATGGAGGCATATTTGGAGGGAGGGAAACCAGGCAGCAGACACCCTCGCTAAAGATGGAGCAACATTAGTTGACGCTTAATTTTTTGGGATTGACATCTTTTTGCCTGTTGCTTTGTATCAGTCATTGTAACCCTTAAAAAATGTTTTTGGATTCTTCTCTCTCTCACCCCCCTTTTTCATAAGGGTTTTGTCTCCTCTTCTCTTCTATGTACTTTTCTTATGCTCTATAAAAGTCAACATTTTCAAAAAAAAAAAAACATTTCAAATGGTAACATTCTCAAATTCAAATTGTAAAATACAAATTAACTATAAGCCAAACATAGCCTAAAGCCCTATTTTAAAATGTCTGTCATTTATTTATTTTCTTATGCTTCCCATTTTATTCCTTTCTGAAATTTCACAAGATATGCTCAAGTTGTTCTTGGTTTAGTCGTAATGCAATAGAGAATTAGTAAAGAACCAGTTTGTGCTCCTTTGAACTTCATCCATGCATATTGCAATGTTCTAGAAAATTCTAGGTGGCCCCTAGGTGCCTGGCTTGGCCTAGCGCACGCAGCGCCTAGGCGGACACCCAGAACCTCAGGTGCCTTAAGGTGACAAGTTTTTGAAAATATGCATGCGTTTGCTGTCCAAATGCACATAAATGCAGATATTTGTGCCAATTTTGTATTTGTTTTACATTTATATGTATTCTAACAACTTTTTTATGCAAATATATATGTATGAATGTTGAAACACGTTGAAAATTTAAAATCATTGAAAGTTTTGATACTTTGAACAACTGAAATAGAAAAAAACATAAATAAGTCCATAGTGTATTGGTGTCCATACTCCATAGTGGCATAGTCATACTTCATAAGTTGATAGTTCATACAATCATCATACAAATAGCACCCTAAAAATGATTCCAAAATGAAGTTAAACTTTCAAATGATTCTTCTACCTTTACAATTTTTCTCAATTAAATTGTTTTTGCAAAAACATTCAATTTTGGGTGTTTTTAGGGTTTAAGATTGAGTTTTTCCTGGTTTAGAATACCCTCAAGATGCCCTTTTCTTGATTTAAAAAAGATCAATATCGGGTGTAGGGTTTAGGATTGAGTTTTTCCCCTTTGGGGGGTTCAAACTACCCCAAAACATCCGTTTTCCCATTGGGGTAACAAGACCCAAAATGGCCTGACGGGGATTTTTTTTTTGGCCGAAAAAGGCCCAGTTCCTGGGTGCCCACCTAGGTTTCTAGTGTGGGTGCCCACCTAGGCATCTGCATAGCCCTCTTGGGTGGGTGCCCAAGAATTGGCGCCCAGAGATACCTGCGCAGGCCTAGGCAAGGCTGCCTAGGGCCCCTTTGGTGCCTAGGCATTGGGCTTGCCGTTTTTTTAAACTATGCATATGTGGTTTTGGTCAGCATTAAACGCTTTTTCATGACATCAAAGCTTACCTTTGAAACAAACTCTCTCTTGTAGAGCATGACATTGATAGTTGTGTTGTGTTTCCCTTTGACATAAGTCATCAATTTAACTATTTCAGTACAATAATTTATTCTTCTATGTGGTTTTCTTGGATTTTTGTGGACTTGCTAGAACCTCTAAATGAATGCTAAGTTAATACATGCATTATATTGGCAGGTTCAAATTGCAAGTTATTCTTATTATACATTGATAATGATATCTATTCTCCTTCAGGTTGATATGTTGTATGCTCCGTTCATTGAACGTTTCCATCTTTTCCTTTTGGATGTCAAGAAGTATGATATTACATATGGGAGACCTAGGTTGGCTACTTGGATTGAGGTATGTTTGCCATTATAGACATATGCATTCATAGCTAATTGACTTTACAAAGAAATGCGCACTTCCTCAATTATTCATCATCCTTGTCCACAAATTTTTCTTTTGTAAATTCAATGATAACTATTTGCAAGTTCAGAGTGGTGAACATTTATTCTGGAAACAGTACCAAAAGTTTCTTGAGTTTTATTTTGTTTTCTACCGCGCATATTTTGTGTCTAAGCTTCATATTTATTACTTTACAAAATGTCTTTCGTGTCCCTAATGATGTATATGTCTATTTTCTTCTTATCCTCTCCTACGTCCACACTCTTTTCATTAATATTAGTGATGAATTGATGATGCATTAATACTATGCTACTGAAAATGCTGCAGCTTTTGTGAGAGATACCGTTTCACCTTGTAATGGCCATACTCCATGGAATGTTTGTGATCCATCAGAGATCTTTTGAATGATTTTACAAACTTGGATATCAGAAGATTAAACGGCCTCTGTAAAATAATTTAGGAAACTGGTTCTGGAGATGAAGTTTGAAGGACATGATTTAGTAAGAAAAATTTAGAAAAGACTCAACAAATTCATGCAGAAACATAATAGGAGAGCAGCGGATAAACAAATGGGAAACATGCTGCTCAATGGTGCTCAGAAGCAAATAGAAATGCATTGGGAATATAGGGATACCTTGAGTAAAATGCATGGAATGCTTGCAAGAGCCCCATGGTATTCTTGAAAAAACTGTAATGGGGATTTGGGAGAAACCCATGGAAACTGTTGGCCCTTATAGGATCATATCACTTCTAAAATGAAATGCCCAAAAAAATGGGAAGATGTGGCTATGTAGAATTTCAAGGTATAAATTCATAGATTCTCTTTTTCTTTATTAATAACTGGAATTCAAAGATTTTCTTTTTTTCGATATTAATAACTGGAATTTCTACTTACAATGCCACAATGACAATGCAGAAATAAACCTATTACAATCTAGGATTTTTAACTTTTGCTACCAAAGAAAACTTTATTCAAAACTGAATTTAGACTTCCAATATGAATTCTAATACAATTAGGACTTCTAATCTAAGTAGGAGTCCTAGTCCAAGTCAGAATGCTAATTTAAATACGACTCCTAATACAATGAGGATTTCTAAGACAAATATGAATCAAGAACTGAAAAAATAAACTTATAAACAAAGCTGGGAAGACTTACTGGAACTTGGCTAGGGTTGCCCCCTAGGACTTAGCACACCCCACACTCAGTTATTGAACTGATGGTGCACTCAATCCTCAGGTCCTGCTGAATCTTTTGATCTCGGGAAGCACCTCTGGAATAACTTCTAATAGATCTATGGGGCTGAAAGCATGGCTTACTAGAACTAGGGTTTCTTAGACCCTTTAAACCTTTGGAGCATGCCGCTATGTGGCACCTCCCTTTAACCAAGATTGGGCTGGGCATCCCCCCTCTCCTTGACCTAGGTGGGGCGTGGCCCCCTTGGTTTCTATGGGTGGTGGCGTGCCACATTAGAGATGAGAGAGAGAGAGAGAGAGAGAGAGGTTTCAACACAGGTGAAGAGAATGAGGGGAGGACCCCTCGTTATATAGGCCTCAATGGCCTAGCGCATCCACTTAGAAATAGAATTCAGTTTGACCATAGGATTCCCAAGGTACTTTGTGAGGTGAGAATCAGAATTATCCATTCCTGAAATCAACCATCATAATAACGAAGGAATCTAGGAACCTTATCCCCCTGAATCTTTGAACCATATCCACCTCTAGTTAAACTAGAACTAGATCTTCCAAAGTTCCATAAAATTTGGACTCTTATTCACATGGAAATAACTTCTTAGAAATCTAAGTCAATATGAAGATCCAATGCAAAGTCCAAAAAAAAAAGAAAAGAAAAAGTTGCTGCCATGTAGATGACTAAGCAGTGACTAACATGGCCATAGCCAGTGATTTCGAAAGTGGACTGCCCAGCGCCTGTGCGGCCGTCTAGGTGGTCCAGAAGGCTTGGGTACATCGCCAATGATGAAAATGCATATACTCCTTTTCTTTTTTAAAATTATAGAATATAAGGGAAACTCACAGCTGGAGAGGCCCTAGACCTAAAAGGTTCTCTCAACCCTACCTCTTTCTATACTAATCATGGGATAAATGTAAGAGTTATTTCATGGATGCAATATCTTGTGCAACATGAAACTCAACCCCAATCCTGATGTCCAAGATCCACTGTCATTGGATTTGGATAAGTATAGATACGTACTAAGGCTCACTTGGAGCGGATTTGGCAATAAGGCTAAGGACAAAGATCTATTTGGATAAGTTCAAAGCTTTCTTTTGAATTTGTGCCTCAATTACCTCGTTCTTAAACTTCTAAGTTCTAACTTGACTTCTATATGTACTAGCTTCATGGTGGATAAATCATGGGGAAAGCATGTATAATTTACTCGAGATTGTGTGCATTATAATTTTGATTCATTTGGTTGTGAGCTCAACTTCAACATGATCGAGGTGATAAAGTTTTAACATACTTATTGTCCATTTGTACTAGTCTCCTATTATCCTTAACTTATTATGTTTTTCTAAGTTATAAACATGGATTCCTATTACAAAGAAGAGAAATGACTCGAGCAGAAGAGTGAACCACCTTGTTTTTGTTCAGTATAATCAGAGCTTGAAGAAGTGCTTATAGGAGCGCAATAGACCTCAATGCTTGGGAAATAGGTCGATGTTCAAGATGAGTACTTGACCTGGAGCTAAGTTCATGAGGCTTCTGGGACCTGTTGAGCCCTATGCAGGCCACTAGATCTTGATCTCAAAGAAGAGGTTGAGGAGAGAGAGAGAGAGAGGAGGCAAACTCTCCTCTGAGTAAGGGAAGAAGAAGATTATGTGGACGAGGGGATGACTCTGAGATGATGGCTTGACATCATCTTCTGATTCTGATGCATCTGCGCTGGTCATACAGATGGAGATGTTGTTGGTAGTAGAAATGGGATGCATCAGATTCAAATGAAGAAATCGTTTGTCTAAATACCCATTTAGTGTTTTTCACAATCTTCTGTACTTCAAATACTAGTAAAGCAGGAACAGATTCATTATTTTTTACAAAGTTAGCTTGATTATTCTCTTCATTGGCTAGTTTCTTTTTGCACTTGGTTCGTGGTAACCTTATTTTTTACAATGATGGCATAAAATGTAAGTTTTGTCATATCTTTGTGTGATGCCTCGGGGTAACTTCTTACTCCACCTCTTGTAGGGTTGCTATTTTGGCCTCTTCCTCCATTTTCAGGGGAGCTCTCCATACGCCGGTCTTCTACCTTGACCTTGATCTCTCCTAAATTGGACTTGTCCCTCACTCTGTGTTGAGTTTTGACTTTAGAGACTGTAGAAGGGGAGATTCTTTGATCCAGTCAATGTTGATGGGAATTCAAGAAACTCATGATTTTAAGGGGCATGGAGGGAATATCTTTTGATTCCTTAGTGGCGCAAACAACGTGCTCGACATCTCATGCTTCCTTGGATGTTTTCGCCTTCCGTCTTTGTCCAAGATTGTTTCATGGACTGCTCGAAAGGACGAATAATAAGGCTGTGCTATTATTTTTCTTTTCTCACGTAGTCCATCTCTATGGACTCGTGAAAGAGCGTCCTACCTTGATTAGTGGATTCAGTATATAGCCATTCTAGATCACTTCCCAAAGCTCTTTGATTCCAAACAACAATTTGATTTGGGTTCTCCAATAGTCATAATTCTTCCCTCCTAAGTGTAGGAGTTGATGTTGATCATGTTGTTCAGGCCATGGTTCAACTTCGGCAAAGTGCGTCGACTGGATGTTGAGAATGACGACCAGCTCTTGTACCACTTGTTGAAAAATGAAAAACCCTTAGGGAGATGATGAAATTGGAGATGAGACTATTTTGGTAACAGCATGGGGGGCGTGAATTGACTGAATTGAAATTGACAGACCTCCTTCTGCTCCTATATATAGAAAAACTCTTCTCTCACTAAAAATCAAAACCCGAAATTCCACATTCTCACATTCTAGTATTCTCTATCCTTATTTGAATAGTAATAACTTGGAGCTCAAGTAAAACAATTACCGAAAGCAACCTACATACTAGACTTTTCACCAATACTAATCCCTCTATATTCATACAATATAGGAAGTAGCCAATATAGTAGGTCTAGCAGATCTGAGTGGTCATAGTGTGGGACCTACTGTTTGGGTCATGTCAAATTCTGGTGAGGCTACTCTCTCTCCAATCACATTTCATCCATTGATAGAACTATCATTCAACTTATGACCATAATTACTTTCCATTTCTCTTTTGGGAAACTATGAAGAATTTTTGTAGTTATATTCACATGTTCATGCTTTTGGCTCAAGTTTTGGATCTAAATTTGCTAGAAGAACGGCCCTTTTAATTTTGCTGAATCTGATACATAAATTTTACCTTCGAGTTCTTTCTTATTTGTAATGACAGGTGAGCCCATGATTCGAACTTATATCTTATCGTGTCTTACATGATTTGCGTCTGTTTAGTGTTTTAAAAAATTCAATGGCAAAAGTGGTGTAAATAGGTACCAATTTTTTTTTTTTCTTTTATTGTTGAGAAAGAACCTTGGATAATCTGTTTTATCAGGTGGTTTTTTCCTTTTAGTTCAATGGAAACAGTGTATCGTATGTATCTGTATCCATGGATCCCGTCTTAGCGAAATAGAAGGGAAGCTATTCCCTAAGAGTCTAGTTCATCCTTTGCCTGCACTGTGAGCTAATGAAAGTTACCTCCACTGACATTGAGGTCTACATTCCATTTCTCGAGTTGGATTTCTGTGAAGTTTGAGAAAACACAGAGAGTTCCTTTGGAATGGAATGAGATAGGGTGTGAAATCAATCTAGTTAACTTGGATGACTTTGTATAATCCAAGTAGCTGCAGACGTAGTTGGATTAAGGGTATTGAAAGTTGCTGAAAGACGATTGTGTCATGCCAATAGTAAGGGCCATAACGTTAACCCAGTTATGTGGGTGGACCAGTCCAATGCACCGGTGGCTTGGGAATTTAAAGAATCCAAGTGGCTGAGAGAGCTTGGTTCGGGTTAATGGTCTGGAGAATCTCTTGGAGCAAATCTTTGGGCTGAAACTTATTTTTGTTACCAGTGTGGATGATTAGGCAGTTAGGAAGTTGGGTTAGGTTTCAGGATTATGGAGTAGTTTTTCTAGGAATTTAGAAAATGAATGAGTTTAGGATGTTATTATGGGAATCAAATCTCTATGCCAATGAATATGGTCTCGAAGGGAACTGTTGTTGGTTTCTTCAAAGTCCCCTCACTCAAATCTGGTGTTTGTTCAAAGTACACTCACTATCTTGAAGGGATTTGAAGTTTGGATGTCTTTGGCATGATATGTATGGTTATCTATGCTATACTTGAGCCACTTTGCATGCATTTGTTATGTATGGACTTCTTAACTGAAACTAATTTCATCAATAAGGGCAGTACTGAGGACTGGGCAAAAGGATTGCAATGTTTCCTCAATTATTGAATCAATGTTTTCCAAGGTGGCTATAGTTTAAATGACTTAAAAGGTACATAGAGACAACGTAACTGAAGGTCTGCGACTGCAGTGAAGGAATGGGGTAGTGGATGACAACCTGTAGTTGTCAATGAAGAACCTGTAGTTGTCAGTGAAGGCGTAGGTCTGCGACTGCAGTGAAGGAATGGGGTAGTGGATGACAACCTGTAGTTGTCAATGAAGAACCTGTAGTTGTCAGTGAAGGGCGCATGTGTGTGTGTTGTAGAGAGAGAGAGAGAGAGAGAGAGAGAGAGAGTAGTTATTACTTACTATTATTAGTACGAACAACTATTAGTCGACTAGTAGTAGTATTACTACTTACTTATTTAGTCGACTACTTACTTACTACGTCGACCTAGTCGACGTACTACTACGTTACGTT